CACCTGATATGTTAATATAGACGTAAACATTCTACACCATATGTGTTAATATAGCCGTAAAAGAACTAATTTAATTAAAATATAATAACGGTCATTGTGCTATTGAGAAAACGTTACCTGATAGTTTAATATAGATGTAAACATTCTACACCATATATGTTAAACTAGCCGTAAAAGAACTAATTTAATTAAAATATAATAACGGTCATGGTCTACTGAACGAATCGTACACCTGATATGTTTAATATAGAAGTAAACATTATACACCATATATGTTTAATATAGCCGTAAAAGAACTAATTTAATTAAAAATAATAACGGTCATGGTCCACTGAACGAATCGTACAACATGATATGTTTAATATAGACATAAACATTCTACACCATATATGTTTAATATAGCCGTAAAGAAACTAATTTAATTAAAATATAATAACGGTCCTGATTCACTGGACAAACGTACATCTGACATGTTTAATATAGACGTAAACATTCTCCATCATATATGTTTATATAGCGTAAAAGAATAATTTAATCAAAAAATTAATACGGTCATGGTCCACTGAATGAATGTACACTTATATATCTAAGATAGCGTTAATCGCTTAACCAATCTAGTGAAGTACATAAAAATAATCCAAATACACTGGATCGCTTAAGAGATTTCATTTCTCGCTTAAGTGATCCTGTGTATTTAGACTTAGTGCTTAAGAGATTGGTTGTATTTATGTTATCGCTTAAGCGATTCTATGCTTTTACTTGGTTGCTTAAGCGATCACGAACAAGACAGAATCAATAAGTGCCCAAACGCACGATCGCTTAAGCGATTTATTCTGCTTTTAAACTTGGTCGCTTAAGCGATTACAAAACGCTTAAGCGATCATTCCGAGGCAGAATAAACTTCTACCTAGATGCACAATCGCTTAAGCGATTAAGTGTATCGCTTAAGTGATTCTTCGCTTTTACTATGGCGCTTAAGCGATCTACTTAAGCGATCATGAACAGACAATAAATCGCTTAAGTATCGCTTAAGCGATTCTTCGTTTTTTGTTGTCGTTAAGCGATCATGAAAAGACAATAAATAAGTGGCCCAGACGCATGACGCTTAAGCGATCCTTGCTTTTAAAGTGGTCGCTTTAAGCGATTTATAATCGCTAAGCGATCATGTCCGAGGCAGAATCAACTTCTGCCAGATGCATGATCGCTTAAGCGATCTAAAATCGCTTATACTAAATCGCTTAAGCGATCTTCTGTCATATACAGATTGCTTAAGCGATCATTTGCTTTTACTTTGGTCGCTTAAGCGATTTTAGATAGCTTAAGAGATCATGTCTGACGCTTGAATTTGCGTCGGCACATCCTCTTCAGTTTCAATTTCAACTCTTGCCCTCCCTTGTTTCACCAATAGAATATCTTCGTTGACGCCGTCTCCTTCTAATGGAGCAACTTTAGTCATCGGAAGTTACTCCACCACAACTTCTTCTTCTCCATTTTTGGTAGACCCAATCATGCCTACAATTTGGGGAGTATATAGGTTTTTTTGTTTCTTTAAGGACTCAGCCATTATAACTTAAGGGAATGGCAAGGAAGAATAAAATGCAAAGAGCAAAGAAATGAGAAATTGCAGAAAATTGGAAGAAAAAACGAGAGAGAGAAAGAACATGGGAGAAATGTGTTCTGCCTTTCAAATTTTAAATCAATTCTCTTATTATACTCTACCACAAATGTTTAAATCTTTTCACCTTAATCCTTTTACTGCTTTAATTACAGTTAAGTATGCCACGTCATATTTTTTAACCTAAAAAAAAAATCAAAAAGATTTTCATGGCGATTTTGTTAAATGGAAACTTGGGATGGCCGGACAGTTAAATTTCTCAAAGACTCACCGGCATCCCACATCTTCAAAAGCCCAACAGTGTGGACGATTTTTTCTCTGTTGGCCATCGAATCAGAAAGTATATTCTGGAATCTAGATAGTAAACGAATATAGATATTGGTTGGAAAACTGGTATTTGAAACTTTTTGGGTGAGAAAGTGTCATGAAGGCGAACCTGGGTGGGACAAAGTCGTTTACTCTTTTAATGGCTAAATTAGGAGCCAAAAAATGTAGGTATCTATGTGAGTTCTCAAAAGGGCTGTTTGTAATTTTCTTATTTCATTTTCTCTGGAAATCCCATTTAGAGCTAGACTGAGACATGCAAATGGTTCAAATGCCATTAATAACGAGATGAAGCTCAAGTCTTTGTTAAAGCTGGCATCGATATTAATTGTGTCTGCAGGTGCCAAAAGCTGGCATTAAGAAATAAGACGCACACTTGCTTACAATTCTGAGAACCAAGACACAACGGTATTGACGGCCATCAATTGCAATTAAAGACCAAAAAGTCAAATTGCAATTTGCTCCTAATAATACAAGTTGGTATATGGTCTCTTCATGTCTGCAATTTATGCTTTATAACCAGTTCAAATGAGTCCTTAATGGCTACCTGAAGAAGAATGGCTGCACAAAGTAGAGCAAAGTGGGTTGGACTTCCATAGTTGTTTTATATCATATCACTCATGACCATTTGTGATTGTACTGAAGAAGAATCAACAGTTTGGCTTCTGATGTTGCTTTAAAGCAGGCTAGAAGGAAATTAGATGACATTGGAGGTAAGATTCTAGTACTTACAGTTCTTTAATTTGTGTATATAACTGAAATTCAATAGAGACTTAATTGTGTTCATAATCAAACCTTGTTTTGATTCTTTTTCTGGTTTTTAGAATCATTAAGGCTCCATAAGCATCGATTGCGGTTTACCGCTGGGTTTCAGTTATACTGATGAGTAACAGATATGATTTACACACTGATGAAGAGCTTATTAACACTGGAGTGAATAAGTCCTATCTTCCAAGTTTAAGTCTGGTATTCTTCCAAAGACTCTTGAAAACGTTAGAAGTTTTCCCAGGGGAGAGAAATTGTTACACACTAAAACCTCTAGAAGGGAATGATACAATCTACTTGATAAGAGCTCTCTTTATGTATGGGGATTATGATGATGACGACAAATTGCCAGAATTTGCTCTCATGTCGGAGTTAATCGATGGGATAATGTGAGATTTGATAATGCATCTCATGTTGTGATTAAGGAGATTATTCATTTGGCCTTACGGGTGAAATTTATGTTTGTCTCCTCAAAAATGGTAAAGGGAATCTTTTATATCAGCTTTGGAGCTAAGGCATTTCCATATACCATTTACAGAACTCAACCAGAATCGGCTTTAGTTCTATACAGGCGTCTCGATGTTGGTTCAACAACCAATCAAACAGTCAGGTAAGTTTTTTCAACTGTTTGGATTTGAATACTGAATCTGGTTTAAGCTTGACTGCAAATGTATACATGTTTGTTGATATTGCACTCAGGTACAAAGATGATAGCTATGATCGGATGTGGTTCCTTACCCGGTTCTGGATCTATCAATACTTCGTCCACTGTCGATTCCTGCTTGAATCAGAGTATAGGTTGCCATCAAAGGTCATGCAAACTGCTGCTAAGCCAATGAATATTAACGGTTCGTTGGAATTTGAGTTTGAAACTGGTGATTCTTCTCTTAAGTTTTATGTGTACATGCACACTTGCAGAACTTGAAATCTCCAAGTGAATCAGTACAGAGAATCATTATAGAGTTAAATGGTAATCTGTGGAAGGAATCTGTTGTTCCTGAGTATCTTAACTCAACTAGATTCAGCAAATATCCTATGAAAGGAAGCAAACTAAGTTTTTCTCTAGGAAAACAGCAAGTCTACCCTTCCTCCCATTTAATGCATTAGAAATTTATGTTCTAAAAGATTTCTTACAAGCATCAACGGACCAAGGAGATGGTATGTTTCTGCTGATATTTTTCTTCTCTGTTGAAGCATATATTGTCAATTTCATTTAATCTTTTTCTAATATTATAGTTAAGCAATCATGAACATCAGTCGAGGTATCAGGTGGGTGAAGGCTGGCAGGGGACCCATGTGAACCAAAATACTCTTGGGATGGCCTAACTGCAGCTACAATGGTTAGATCCCCCAAAAATCATCTCTTTGTGAGTGTTACTTGTGCAAGAAGAATAAGGCATTGAAACATTAACCAATAAAGAGACAAATTGATAAGCTATTTCTAGCTTACTTATTTAACTAAATGAAATGAATTACGCAGAATTTTCATCGAAAGGATTGGCAGGCAGGATAGTTCATTCACTTTTCGATCTTAAGTCATTACAGCAGCTGTAAGCAAAGTACAATGTGATTATTTCCGGGTAGTTTATAGATATATGGAGAATTGCTAATTTTGCAATACCTTTATCAAGGGATAGTCCAACAATAGCTTAACCGGATCACTGCCTGATTTACTTCTCAACTACCACACTTGAGAGTTCTGTAAGGTGCTGAGATTTAATGACATAAGTTTGTACTCATTCAGGCAAAATGGAATTGTTTAATCCTGTATGTACTTGCAGGAACTTGGAAGGAAAACAAACTCTCTGGCTTAGTTCCTAAATCGTGGGAAAGGTCACAAAATCAATCACCATATTAAGGTTCACATCTACCAAACTTAAAAGTTACTTTTAGTTTTGAGGATAACAAAACCATTTTATTCTATTTCTCATTTCTCCAACATTAATTTATCCTCTAAGAAAAGCGATTCAATGATAGTATGATTGGAATCTGGATCTATGTTTGTTCGCACCATGCAAAAAGGGAGAAATATTCTAGTGCCACTTGTTGCAGCCATTGTTTCAGCTCTTGTGATCATTTTGATTGCATTTCTATCCTTTGGATCCATAGAAGAAAAGAGGTAATATATCGTTGCACTTCATCAAATATTTCTTGTTGGATGATAAACATTCAATTCAGCTCCAGGATTTTGCTTAGCACAAATGCTAACTCGTAAACTTTATGTATAGCTGCTAAGGTGGATGTCAAATCTGTTGCAAAGAAAGAAGGTCACTTAAACGAACAGTCGAGAGTTCACATACTCTGAGATGTGGAGCATGACCAATAATTTCGAAAGAGTTCTTGGAAAAGGAGGGTTTGGAATTGTTTACCTGGCTACTTGGTTGATGGAACACAAGTTGCTGTCAAAATGCTATGTCCATCATCAACTCAAGCATCTATACAATTTCGAACTGAGGTTAGATTCTACCGGAAACTCAAACAGGCTCAATATTAAGTATAATCAATGGGTTAAACATACATTTTATCTGGAGTATACTTTGAATCTGGTTATAATTAAATGTTATCTTGATCAACAGGCTCAGTTCTTGATTAGGTTCATCACAGGAACTTAGCTTCTTTTGTCGGATACTGCAATGATAGCAGAAACTTTGCAATCATCTATGAGTACATGGCATATGGAAACTTAGAGGAGTATCTATTAGGTAATAGTCATGTCAATTTCCCTGAAAGGCATTTCTAATTTCAACTTAAACATTAATATTCATTACAAAAATGGTAAATGAGACTAGTTTGTCACAATTCTTGCTCCAGATAAACGTAAAGAAGCTCTGAGTTGGAAAGAGAGAGTTGAGATTGCACTTGGTGCCGCACAAGGTAATAATAAGCAGAATAACCTTTTAGTATACATAATTTTCAATTTTCATGTGTTCTAGCCAAGCCAACGAATTCTAAAATTCTCTGTACAGGGCTAGAGTACTTGCACCATGGTTGCAAGCCACCAATAATTCACAGAGATGTGAAGCCTGCAAACATTTTGTAAATGAGAAAATGGAGGCCAAGACGGAGATTTTGGTTTCTCCAGTTTTTTCCAATTGAAAGTGGAAGCCATTATTGACATCAATTGTCGGCACAGTGGGTATCTTGATCCGGAGTAAGTAATATAAAGCAAAATGTAGCAAAAGTTAAAGTTGTTAACAGATACAAACAAATTCGATAATTTCAAAATCTTGTAAGCCTCCTTACTGCAGTTGTTTGGTTAGTGAACTACTTTCTTATCATTTTCTCGGTTTCTGCAGGTATTATGCATGTAACAGGTTGGCCGAGAAAGAAAGTGATGTGTATAGTTTTGGAGTCGTACTCTTGGAACTGATTACTGGTCAGCCTGCTGTGTGAAAGGCAATGTTGAGAAACATATAATTCACTGGGTTAGTCCATTTCTTGAAGGAGGTGATGTAAGAAGCATGTTGATCAGAGTAGAAGGAAATTTGACACAAATTCTGTTTGGAAAGCTGTAGAGACAGCAATGGAATGTTTGCCACCAATTCTCCAGGCCAAGATGAGTCATGTGGTAATGCCATTGAAAGAGTGTTTGGAGTGGAAATTGCTCGTGAACAAGCGTCACAAATTGAGAGTCAAATGATGGAATCAAACAATCAATGGACATGAGTCCTGTTGATCTTGAAACAGAAAGGGTCCTGAAGCAAGATAGAAAGTAGACTATTGAATCATGGTTAAGTTATAATCTTATGCAAAATGAAACACTGAGATATGAGAATATGTAAACATTTTAGGGATTTGAGAGCCCTGGAATGAGAAATGTAACAGAAATTTTGTTAGCCTTTCACGTTAATTGGCAGTAGAAATGAAAATTCTGAAAAAACCAAAATTTTCCATTCAATCGTGAAAATGACAGCAAAATTTCAGTTGGGCTGCAATTTGATTTGCAGAGATAATAGCATAGGACACTTAACTGGAGCTTAAAGAGCTGGTCAAGTCATTTTTTCGGCTCCCCTTTCTGTACGTTAGAATTAGCCAGATTTTTGTCTTCACTTCTCCTCAAATGGTTAATAACTGAATTCCTGTTTTTCTTTTAAACCAACAGTTAATGCTATCAAGGACCTCAAACAAAAATACGGAGTGACTAGAAACTGGCAAGGCGATCCATGTGTCCAAGTAGTCATGGGAAGGTCTGAATTGCACCAATGATGTTTGGCCAAGGATATCTCATTGTGAGTACACCTTCAAAGACTAAAAGTTCTGAATCAATGAAGTATAACTTTACTTAATATTGCAAATATCGGTGGAATTCTGGGGGGTCCTCAACTTGGGGAAATTGGTGCACTTCTTTTTTCCATCAGTTTTCTGAGTTAATGGAGATGCATTCTCTTTGATGAACTTATGCAGGAATTTGAGCTCAAGCAAATTGACAGGGGAGATAGCACCTCACTGTCCAATCTTGAAGCATTACGATATTGTAAGCATAATTAATATGTAGTGATTGACTCTTAGCATTCAGTGACGTATTAAAGGCAAAGAAGATTACATTGGAGATTTTTACCAGAAACTGTTGCACTAAGCCCATCATAAAAATGACCACACATAAAGAGGAACCCAATTTTTTTTTTATTACCGGGATTTATATACAACAACTTGATTGGGCCAATACCAGAATTTTTAGGACAACTGCCAAATCTAAAGTCTATTGTAAGTATTTCAACTTTGAGTTTAAAATCGGAACAACAATTTTGGAGTAGGAAGTGAAGTGATGTACATGTATTTGAACAACAAACTCACTGGTTCAGTTCCAGATGCTCTTATGGAAAAGTCCAAGGTTAGAACATTGCTGTTGAGGTAATCAATTTCTCAGTGATATAATGGTTATGGTTCTTCCTAATTCCTATTATATTTTATTATTTATGTCATTTGTGTTCTTTTTTCCTTTTTGTGTCATGCAAGACTGAAGGAAAAACCAGACTTTGCATGTCAGTTCCATGCCAACAAAACAAAATGAAATTCATTATTCCAGCAATGATAACCACTCTAGTCATCTTGCTCATTCTGCTCCCCGCCAGTGCTCTGGCTGTGTACAATTGAAAGAAAAAGAGGTAATATCTTCTTTCATTCCCAGCAATTTACTTGGAGCTTTTTTTAAAAGATTATATATTATTGGTGTTGAAATATATAGGTACTGTATCCAAGAAGGAAGGGTCTCTGAAATCAAAAAATCGAAAATTTCTTTCTCTGAGATTGTTACTATCACTGATAACTTTAAAACCGTTATCGGGGAGAAAGAGGATTTGGAAAAGTTTACATGGGCACTCTGAAAGATGACACTGAAGTTGCTGTTAAGGTTCTCGCCGTCATCAAGGCAAGGCTATAAGGAATTTCAAGCAGAGGTCAGCCAGAGTTTCAATCACTTGAAAATTTTCATCAATATTGAATCTATACAGAACAATGTGAATGCAGGCAAACTCTTGAGATTGTTCATCATAGGAACTTGGTTTCCCTGATCGGTTACTGTGATGACCGTGACAATAAGGCATTAATTTATGAATACATGGTCAATGGAAACTTGAGACAGTTATTTATAGGTATGCAAGATTTTATTTCTTTCCTGAACTTGAAATAATGTTAAAATGTATTTGAAATGAGATGTTGGAAATCTACGCTTAAAGTCTTATGTTTTGATTGATTACGGAGATGGACACAAATTTGCTGAGCGGGACTGGCATTGCAGGGTTCGATTATCTACACAATAGTTGCACACCACAACAATCCACAGGGACTTGAAGCCTTCCAACATTTTACTAAATGAAAACATGCAAGCAAAACTAGCCGATTTCGGACTCTCCAGGGTAATCTATAAAGAAAGTGATTCGGGTCTAGAAACTTGCCCTGCTGGTACACCTGGATACATAGATCCTTAGTAAGTTCTAAAACTTAACAAAATATTTGTGCAGTTATGTTTATTTAAGTTATTAATATTCTTAGTGAATGTTCATATCACTCTTGTTTCCTGACAGAGTCTATGTAAGTGGGATTATAAACAAGAAAAGTGATGTTTATAGCTTCGAGATTATTCTATTTCAACTAATCACTAGACAGCCTACAATAAAGAGAAGCCTCGGTGACGACAAATACATACTTCAGCGTGTGATTCCGGTAATTGAAAGAGGGGATATCCAAAACCTTGTCGATCCAAGATTAGAAGGACAATTCAACGATAATGCAGCTTGGAAAATAGCAAAGATCGCCATGTCATGTGTATTACCAAGCGCAGCTCAAAGACCGGACATGAGTCATGTACTGGCTGAACTAAAGGAATGTTTGGCTACTAAGGCGGATCCTAGAAGACCCTCCCGAACAGAAAGCATCAACACAAGTTCAAGTGATTTACTTAAAAGAGGTCTGCATTGAGCCTGGAATGGAGATAGTCCCCATCACAAGGTAACTACTGAATATGTTTTTCAGTATGCAGGTAGTAACAGCATAGCATTCCAATATCAAATTTTACATCATTACCGAATGAATATTTTAAGTTACTTTATAAGCTTTGGGTATAATATAACATTTCTGGTGGCAATTGCATTGTATGTGAGTTTGTACAATAAATTTTCTTTTCCTAACTACATTGTTGCGAATTTTTTCCATGTCTGGCAACGAAATTTTGGCTAGTTTTGTTGTGATTCAAAATTAAAATTTCAAGAATTAATATACAGTTTCAATAATTTTTAGTTGAATTCTCAAGATAACAGTATACCACATGGATAAAGATTAACTCATAACACAATCATACAAACTTTCTCTTATAACTTTAGCCTGACAACTTGCGATTGGATAAACATGACCCATAGCGAGCAGACTGAACTTATTTACGAGCTGACTAATTACAAACTGTCATATCAAGATTATGAAAGAAATTTTATAAGATTAGGTTATAAATATAGTATTACTCATATTATATACATGCTATGAATTATTGTCCATAGTTGGGGATTCTTGACGATATTCTCTATATCCTTAACTTTAAAACAATTTGTAATCATACATGTTCTAATCAACCAAATGCGTCATCAAATATTATAATCTAAGAATAAAGGGAAGTCAACTCAACTGGACTGTTTGATGCTCAAACTTGAACGAGTTGAATCAATCAATCAAATTGTTCAATGAATTAGTTAAAGTTCAGAGAATAAAGGGGTCATAAAAGGCCAAAGAGTATTGACTGACTCGTTAACTTTGTCATTTAAAGTAAATCAAGGTCAAGCCACTAAATATGAGAGTGCGGAATTACATGTTCGTACCTTAAGTTTGGTGCATGAATATTAGTAATGTATTGACTCCTAAGTCAACAATTAATATATTATACTATAATTTTTTTTTATTTTTTATTTTTTAAAGTGATGGACATTAACAAATAAGATCACATTTTTCTTTGTAATTAAATCTCCTCTTCCCGCACTCTGTCATTTTTCACTTTTTGTCCCCTAATTGATAACTTTATATAAATGTTTCTACGAGATTAACGAAGCTAATTGTGGTTTAAAATGACCAGCCCACACTTATCCAGAAAAGTAGAAGTAGCTCCTAATACTTTATATATATGCTGATACAAGTGTTCTCTTTTTTTTTTTTTTTTTTTTTTTTTTTTTTTTTTTTTTTTTTTTTTTTTTTAATGACTGAGGATGTCCAGGCTAGTTTGCATGCATCATAACTAATTCTTTAGAACATTGAAACTACCAATTGTGTAAGAGCTTTAGTGGCCACCCCTATTAGGGGTCATAAAGACTCAAACTCGAAAGACCATATTAGATTCTCTTTTTACTCTTTTACCGTCAAAAGGACTCGAAACCTAGAAGACCATGTTAGATCCTCTTACTTGAGAGACCGTGTTAGATTCTCCTCTTACTCTTTTACAATTAAGGGTACTCGAATTTGAGAGATAATATTAGATCTTCATTTGCTCTTTTAACATCAAGTAATTTAGTGGTGGTTAAATATTCTAAGTTGCTTTCATCTTGTTTCACAAAAGTCCAAAAATACTTTAACAAAAGGTGTATAAAAAAATTAAAAAAAAAAACCATCATATTGCCAATTACTTGATATTAAAGGCCAACAAGATGGTCCAATTACTTAATTTAGTTATAACTAGAGGCACATAGTTAATAAATTTGGCTAAAGTTCATTCATGTTCAATAAATAGTAGTGATTTAAGTTTTAAGAGTAACTCTACAAATATAAATTTTGTATATAAACTCAATTTGTATTGATTTATTTTACATTAAATCTTGTATTATTCTAGTTTTAAAGCTGAAACTTATGGTATGCATAAATGAAATTAATTTATAAGTAATAATATATTGACTAATGTCAACAAAGATAATACTAAAAAGATGTGTGACACTTGCACATATGGTAGGATTAATTAATTAATTGGGCAAAGGAGTACCCACACACCCAATAATTCAAAAAGTATGTGACAAAGCTGACGTGAATGAAATAACAGTAACAAAGTTGATGTGAATGGAATAACTCTAACAACTAATTGCTATAAAAAAATTGTGTAATTATGTGACATAGGCCCTATTCTTCATTAATTTTTGTTATATATGCATTGACTTAAAGTCAGATTAATTAATTCTATTATTCTACTTTTGACACCTAATTGATTGAGTTTGTGAAAAGGAATTAATATATTTAATTAAATACCAACAATAGGCCTTCAAATATAAACTTTGTTACAAGTTATATAAAGGAATGAAATTGTCTAATGCATACATCCTTATTTTTTAATTTTTTAATTCTGATCATGATTCTCACTTGAAGAATCTACCAACCAAAAAAAAAAAAAAAAATTACAGCCAAAACTCTAACCTAAAATTCTAAAGAATAAATAAATTGTCTTTTAGGGGATTCTTCACGTTAGAAATCATAATTGAGTACATATTCGAAGAAAATTCCTTCTAAATTTCATAATTAATTGCTTTGGCCTCGAGCATTTCCTCTGCTAATCAGTAACATAATTTCTTCATCCTAAGCTCGTTAGCATGAAGAAGAACACAAAGCATTGAGAGAAAGCATTATATAATTGAAAGAAATTTATTTTGCAAGGAAGACCTAATTGATTGAGTTTGTGAAATGGAATTAATATATTTTGAGTCAACTATCTAAATCTCAAAATTCGACTCAATTCACATGAGTCGGTATGTCAAAGTCGGCAGTTAGGTCGGTAAGTCTAGCATTATTGGTGAATAAACTAGAAAACAAAAGAAAATTTTGAGTCCAGGCTCCAGCAACTCAAACGAAAAGAAATCCCACCACCATCAGACGGCATAAAAGCTCATTCGACACTTCCAATCAAAGAAATAATAGACCCATTCCATTCCAAACAACGAACAATCAAATAAAAAAATTTAGAAAAACAAGAAACGTAAAGATTTTAAAGCATCGTTCTTTGTCTTACCTTGGCTGACCATAGGAGAATAAGAAATTGGTGACGACCGATGAAATTTGGGTGTTAGGAAATAAGAAATTGGTGAGGATGGATGACAAGGCATATTGGGTTTTAGAAGTGATTGCTGTTGTTGTCGTGGAGATTTTAGATGTGGCGTTTTATGCGGTAGCATAGGTGGTGGTGGTTGATTTTGTGGAGGCCGTGACATTTCCGATGAGATCCATGGAGCACTTCTCAAATAACAAGCACTAGCTCGCGATGGGACTTCATAAAAAGCAAGCAACGATAAGATTGAAGAGAATGAAACGCATGTAGTGGTCATTGTAGTGGAGGATTTTGGGGCGTGGCTGGCCAAGGTTAGGGCACAGAAAGAAAATTAAGGGTAGAGGATTTTGGGGGCGGCAGGATGGGGAAGAAAAATGGGAGGATTGGTTGGGATTTTTTAGGGTCTAGGGTTTAAAAAACTTAATTTCTTTTATTTACTAAACTCATTTTTAATTAAAAAAATAAAAAACTGAATTTATTATTTTATACTTTTTCGGTTAAATGATAAAGGGAATTTTGTGACTTTATTCTACAGATTTCATTGATGAGAATGAAAATGATCATTTTCAAATATAAAAAAATTACACTAAATGATCACTTTCCCAATTAACGCCCAATTCTTTCAAAAATCAACAAAATAATAGGAAAACCCAAAACCTCTAATACTCTAACCTCAAAACCTCTGAAAATAATAATAAGAATAAATTAATTAATTAATTAAAAAAAGGCAAGAAATGTTCCTAAATCTTGCCTCATTCATTGTTACTCTTTTCTTAGCCATTTTTAAGTAGATTCAGTAGCATCTATCATCACAAAAGAAGGAGATTATTATGGGAAGGAAGAAAGAAAATCTAAAGTTTTCATACATTAGTCGTCAAAACATATGATCCAATAATTTACAAACAAGTGAAAACCATTGTAACCTAAAATTTTGACTTCAAACGAGATACAAACTCTCAGTCTATCTTGAATTGGAAAATTAAGTGCGGTTTAAGTTAAAAATTTCAGTCAGCCTTTATTAACCGTAGAGATTACAGCAAAACAAAAGAATATTTACTTTTTCTCACTCTCTTGAGTTAACTTATGAACCAAGCAGTCAAGTCCAGGAAAAGCACATAAACCCAACAATTTAAAAAGAAGAATAATCCATGAGCACAATATAACATGCAGGAAGGGGAATAAAAGATAAAATAATAGAGAGTTCAAAGGGTTTAGAGGGTAAAGTGGATGATCTTGAACAGGCACACCAAGAAATAGAAGAAATGCAGCCATGTGCTCTTTCATCAAGAAAATAGAAAAATAGGGGGGGAATTTTAGAAATTCTATCTGAGAAAGAGAGTGCCACTCACCAGTCCAGTACGGGGAGGAAGGTTGGTAAAAACTTAAAACTCTGGTACAAACCGGTCGGACTGGGTCCAAGAAAGTCTAAAAAAATTTTGATAAATACATTGCCCATTCTCCTCTAATTTCATCCATCTCGGCTTGTGTGTATCTTTCTTTTCCCATGAACTATAGAAGTAAACACAACAAGTCTTATCAACAAACTATATCAACTATATCTTATTATAATTCAAAAGTGCAAAGAAAAAAAGAAAACTTACATTTATTTTTAGTAATGTCAGCCCATTCTCAACTATATCTTTCATGTATCCCATGAGGTAATACCCACATTCAAAGGTGCCCGGTTGAATCGGTCCCTACAAAAAATTAATTCAAAAGTAAGCATTGTTCAAAGGTAAAACAATATTATAATGGAAAATTAATGGCTATTGATAATAACAATTGTATACACCAATTCTTTTTGCCATGTGATATTGGAAACCTCACGGGCGGAATGAATAATAATACCACTGTGAAAGTTAAAACAACTTCTGAAATTAACACGCAGTATTTGATATTATATAGAGCATTAAAAATGACATAAGTAGAATTACTAACTTTTGCACTACTTCTTTTAAATCTTCTCCAATATCTCTCCTTAAGGAGTCCAGATAATACACTGTTAAAGTCTTCATGTCAATAGCAACAAGAACCCAATGAAATCTGTTAAGAAATCTGATAAGCACCCAACACGACAACCATAAAGAAGCAAAAGAATAATTACACAGCAAGAGTTAATCAGCCTAAAACAAAAACGAAATAAGAAAGAACCATGAAGACAGTATATTTGAGTCACAATAGATTATCATAACCAAATAACAACCATCTAAAATCATTTGATGGCAATTAACAAATTAGGATAGACATTGTCTTTAAATCTAAAAAATTGATTATTCAAACAAGAATAAAGGTAAGAAATCAATAAATTACTAACCCCGGGTTGCATGGCACTATAATTAAATTCTCGTTCTTAACCGTTTCCAACCGATTGGCAAGCAATTTTGCCATTTCTGTTCTTGTTCGCATGGCATCACTGTTGCCTGCTATTGACAATGAGCTGGGGCACATGAAATCAAATCCACCCTGATTGCCACTATTGCCCTTCAGCCTCTCATATAAAGCCCTGCCCCAATTCAAAAGATACCAAAATAATAGTCATATGCAACATAACACCCAAAGAAAATTAAATCATAATCAATACTATAAACAAACAACTCACATTATATAAACTGTTAAGGTTGATGACACCTACATCAGTCATGTTTTAGTCTATTCACTTCAAGTTCAAGGATAACAGAGCCTATACAAATTTTCTTGCCATTTTCCTGTTTCTCTTTCTCCAATCAATTCCTCACTCTTAACTTCTATTATTCACTCTCACTAACAGTTAAACAGGAAATTCACAAACAATGCATTTTTTTTATAAAGTCCTCCACCTCTTTAAGTTTGTTATTAAACTTTTATTTCAAAAATAGCATTGCGTTTCAAACTTAATTTCTTTATTTCATAAAAAAATTAGTTTCTTTTAACTTTTTTTTATAAATTAAATCTTTTAAAATAATATAATTATTTAAAAACAATGTGAATAAACTAGAAAACAAATGAAAATTTTGAGTCCAGGCTCCAGCAAGTCAAACGAAAAGCAATCCCACCACCATAAAACGGCATAAAAGCTCATTCGACACTTCCAATCAAAGAAATAATAGACCCATTCCATTCCAAGCAACAAACAATCAAATAAAAAAATTTAGAAAAACAAGAAACGTAAAGATCTTAAAGCATCGTTCTTTGTCTTACCTTGGCTGACCATAGGAGAATAAGAAATTGGTGACGACCGATGAAATTTGGATGTTAGGAAATAAGAAATTGGTGAGGATGGATGACAAGGCATATTGGGTTATAGTGGAGGATTTTGGAGGGTGGATGGCCAAGGTTGGGGCACAGAAAGAAAATTGGGGGTAGAGGATTTTGGGGGCGGCGGGATGGGGAAGAAAAATAGGAGGAGGATTGGTTGGCATTTTTTAGGGTCTAGGGTTTAAAAAACTTAATTTCTTTTATATACTAAACTCATTTTTAATAAAAAACTGAATTTATTATTCTGTACTTTTTCGGTTAAATGATAAAGGGAATTTTGTGATTGCATTGATGAGAATGAAATTGATCATTTTCAAATATAAAAAAATTACACTAAATGCTACAATAATTCCCATTTTCTTATCTAACCTAAGATAAGTTATCTTTATGAACATACTTCAGTCTGTGTCCATGTACCTTTTAACATCCTCCAATTTGCTTATGGTATCTTTATGAACACTTACTTAGCTTCTAATAATTTGCTTATTTATTGATTTTTATTTATTTAACTATGAGTGTTAGCTGAATTAAAGAAATAACAAAATGACTATCATTAAAAAGATTAAAGAAATCAAAGCCGAGATGATTCACACCCAGATAAATAAAGCCACAGGCAATGTTACCGAAATTAGTAACATGCAATGTTAAATTTACCGTATAGAAGTGTTATTTCATGTCTTTGGCACCGATGTATTGTTTACTAGAGAGAAGTTTTATTTTACAAATGTGATGTAGATTGGATAACAATACTGGGATTTTACTTCGGATTATCATAGCGATTTCCTGTGTGATTGTTAAGTATTGTTTTTCGATTTGTAATTGTTATGAAATGATAATGCAGAGTATATCATCTGGGCCAGATCAAGGCAAAGACTGCAAAACTAAGAACACAATTGTTGAAGCCTCCAAAGCTATTTATTTAGAAAGAAAAGATTGACCATCCAACAACGGCATGTTTGTAACTTTGTCAAAGTAGTAATCAGCTGCTCCAAATTACTTGTTGACAAAGATTAATAACAATATCACTTCCTGGAGCTTTCAAGAGCTATCAATGAAGCATATTTATTATAGGCGCATTGAATCTTACCAAACTCTATGGATTGGCATGTGACAAGTGATACACTCATGTTCATTTTCAATTGCTACGATGGCACATTGATGGCAAGAAACGTAATGCCCACATCCAAATGCACGAGTCCTCGTCTTCATGAAGCAGATCAAACAGAGTTGCTTGTGTCCAGCATTGGCATCATCTGAGAGCTTGGATCGGTTGTTGCAAACCACCTCCTGGAGACAAATTTTGATTAATAGACTCAAAACTACATTAACAATAATCAATATAACCCATCTACAGTAGATTGAACTCATTGAAATTTATCTGTGCACCTGAAATTATAACCTAGGATACCAAGAGCCAGCGAACCACAAAACTATACATACCCAGAAGTTTGCTTTTGACCGTTAGGCAAGATCTGCTACCATCTGATCCTTAGTCATCTTAGTCCTGCAGGAAACAGAAATACTAGTCATTCAAACAAGCAATATGGATATTTCCCGCCAATTTCCAACAACAAAACTTAACAAAAATTCTTCTTTAATAAAACCCTTACAAAAAATAGGGAAGATCATTGTCTGACTGGATCTCAAGGATTACATTTTTGAAACCGCTACCAATGGCATTGATATTTTTTCCCACTCGAAGAATTTCCTCAGAACCAATCAAACCAACCTTCAACAAGCAAACAAAGTAGAATGTCATACATTAGTAATAAAAATGAACAAATAAGAAAGAGAAAATCCCATTAATCAAATTTAGGCTTGACAATATCTGACTTTACAGGCCACCCATAACCACAATTTGTCTTAATTCCTTCAAGAAATGTACAAGAAACTTTAAACTTCACAACATCTGATCTTATAGGTCACCTACAACCAACAATTGTGTTAATTGCCCGAATAAATGTACGAAGATCTTTAGAGCCATGCATGTCCACAACAAGATAATCAGACGAATAATCAGACCACCTTTGAACAAGAGTAAAAGGAACCTGTAAAAGTAATACAAATATACTAGATAAATCAGAGCTATAACAACCACAAAGAAACTAAATATAAATGTCACTAGATAAAACAAAACAAGCAGTGATGAAGCAAATAGGAAAATGGTTTTAAGTATTCAAATGGGCAAGCAGAAAAAGTTATAAAAGTAAAATCTCGTGAAAGAAGTTCTATCAAATTTGCAACTCACTAAGTTTCAACAAAATCTTAATTACACAAAGCAGGCTGACAAAGATGATATCAACTGAAAATTGAAGCAACTGAAATCTTACAGCATGCTCCTACAAAATCAAAATAAAATGCCCCCAACTTAAAGCTAAAGAATTACAACAATCAGATGAGTATTAAATAGTATTGAATGGATGTGAAATATAATACAGAATTGACATGAATATCTGTTGCAATGCAAAAAAAATGCTATAAGTATACTCATAGAAGTAGTATTTGCTTCAACAAAATCTTTAAGCTAAAAGTACCTAAACAGCAAAAATATCAATTTGAATTTGCGAAGAATGAGGCAGTATTATAGGAGAACATCCTTCTCCTATTCGCAAAGGATTCCATCTCATAAAGTTCCATAGATTGTAGACACACTTAGCAACAAACATACTACACAATCAGTTGACAGTTGTACATAAATTAACTCATTAAAAAAAATACTCATGTAAAACACAAACTATATCTATACAAAATTAATTAAAAGAAATACTCAGGTAAAACACAAACTATATCGATACAAAATTAATTAAAAAAAAAACACTCAAGTAAAACACAAAGTATACTGACAGTGACAAAAAAAAAAAAAAAAAGTAGTATTTGCTTCAACAACATCTTTACCGTCGTCATACGAGGCCTTCCATGACATTTGGGTGTTAGGAGAATAAAAAACTGGTGAGATCGATGACAAAGAATATTGAGTTTTAAGGGGAAAAAAAAAAAACAAATGTGATCGATCGTCACCAATTTCTTATTTACCTAACAACCAAAAAAGAAAAAAAAATCACCTACTGCTTGGTCGCCATTTGAGAAGGGAGTGAAGAAAAAAATTAACTACAAACCGGAATCGGCCAGATCGTGACAGAAGAATGCGATTGCTTTATGATCTCACCCGATCCACCACGATCTAGCTCAGATCGTGGCGGACACCCTAGGTCGCGGTGGATCTAAAGCAACAAATCCGCCGCGATGCTGTGATTAGGTGGGGGACTGGGTTGTAAGGGCTGGGGGAGAGAGATTGGGTTTAGATGGGGTGAGGATAGGAACCGATTGTGGTGGGGGGTAGGAGAGGTGGGGAGGTTGAAGGGAGGAGACATGGACGCTTTTGGGGCGCTGAGGTGGGAGAAGAAAGACAAAAGAGGGTTAGGGAATTTTTTTCTTTTATAATAAAAAATAAAAATAAACTGAATTTTAATGATGGATGAGAAAATAAGAAATTGTTTTTTAAATCTTGCGGGCGGGAAAAATCACTAGTGGGAAATTTTTTTCTTTTATTTTTGGCGTGTAGGTTTAAGGAGGTGCTTGAATACTTTTTAAAACTTAGGGTATCTTGATAAGATTAGATAGTTACCCTCTAGGCTGTTTTCGAGCCGAGTTTTCTGCTTAACGAGCTCGGCTTGTGAAAGGGGAGTAAAATGTGAGTGCTACTTATTTCCTGGCTCGACTCGTGAAGGGAGGAGAGGATTTCGAGTCTGACTTGCTAGCCGGCTTAATGAGCCAAGTTCAAGTCGGCTCGTGAGCCAGTAAAAAAATATGCAATTTAAAAAAAAAAAATTAAAGCAAATTCTTCTCTTTTTGTTACTTATTGCTCCTTTACTTTCTCTTATTTTCTCTCTCTCTAATGACTCATGTTTCTCTTATTTTTTCTTCATTTCTTTCATTGTTTCTCCTGCTCTCTCCACCAACTCTAACGGCGACGAGGAAAGACACTGGAGGCGACTAAAAACTTAGCTAAAATTCTTTATTGATTTAGGTTTTACGACAAAAAGTGTTGGAGTCGCGTTTTTAGGGCTTTTAAAATCGGGGGGACTTTGTTATTTTTGAAAACATTTTGCTTATAAAATTTAAGGGCAATCCCCCATATTTTAAAAAATCCCAAAACACCCCTATGAGTTCAAGCCTGATTCGGCTTACGAGCGTAACAAGCTGAGCCGAGGCAGGCTCGAACTCAACTTGTTTCCTCTCAAGAATCGAGCCGAGCCGTTAACAAGCCAGACTCAAGCCTAGTCGAGTCGGCTCATGAGCAGTTCTATTTGTTAAACACTCCAAGTTACCCTGGTATGTTTAAATTAATTTATTAGAAAAAAAAAAATTGTGTCTTTTACTCTTTTGAGGTAAGAAAAAGTATAATAATTAAAATAATGAATTTTAACCATTAAATAATATAATTAACCTCTCAGATTATAATTGAAAGAACTAATACGATAAACCATTTTATAAATGTACATTAAATAATAGTGAATGATATAACAATACATAAGTAGTGTCATATCACTTTGTGTAGATAACTTTTAATAAAGTCTTTGTAAGTATAATATTACTCTTATAATAATTAAATACTTTTAACTAAAAATTAATAACGACTAGAAATCAATGATTGGTGATTGAAGTCTAATATTTAACGAAAAATTCTAATGGTAGGGGGTGTACTTGGTATTTCTTGCGGTTATGACTTATGGCCTTATGGGTGACAAAAGTTGTTTTAAAAGTTACAGGGGGTGTAATAATTTCTTAAGTCCATTGCCCAAATAATACCATTACCTAATTTGAACAATACGGTGGCGTATCATTGGGACCACCGAAAAATATGTTAAGTCCGCCTGCAGTTCTTAACTTACCAGGGCCTTACTTTCAGTTGTTGAAGATTTGAAGTTCAAGAGCAAGATTTTAAAGAAATTTTCTCAACTCTCAATCTCAAGCATAGGTGAGTTTATTCAATCACTTTTGCAACTATGATGTTTAATTTTCTCTTCAGAAATTTACTTCATATTCATGGAAGATACGCTAACTTAGCTTTATTAAACCCTAATAAATTTCAAGATTTTTCGTGTCCATTTTTTGTCAAATACATCTCAACCAACTCAAATGAACATTCTTTTATCGTCTCATATCTTATTAATTCACGTGGGTTGTCTTCTGAATCTGCTCTAAAGGCATCCAAAATAGTTCAATTTGATACTCCGGAAAAACCGGACTTAATGGTAAACATTTTCAAGAGCAGTGGCTTCTCAGAAATCCAAGTCTCAGACCTCATCAGAAAAAGCCCAAAACTGCTTTTGTGCAATCCTGGGAAAACCCTTTTGCCAAAACTTGAGTTTTTTCACTCCAAAGGCGTTTCAAGTCGTGATCTTGCAAAACTTTTATGTCGTCGACCTAATGTCATTCAAAGGAGCTTAAAAAACCAAATAATCCCTTCCTTTCATTACCTTAGTAACTTGCTTCAATCTAGTGAAAAGGCTATTACTGTTATTAAAAACTCTTCACGCATTCTTGAAACTTATATAGGACCTAAGATTGACATTTTGCGATATTATGGTGTGCCTGAGGCCAAGATTTCCACGTTTTTGTGTCATTGGCCTCATTCATTCTTATCAAAATCGGATCAATTTAAAGAAATTGTGAAGGAAGTCAAGGAAATGGGTATCAGTCCTTTGAAGATACAGTTTGTTCTAGCCATTGTAGCGAAAAGAATAATGAGCAAGTCGCACTGGGAAAGGAAACACGATGTTTATAAGAAATGGGGTTGGTCTGACAAAGAGTTTTTAGCGACATTTTCAATGTATCCATGGTGTATGATTGCATCAGTGGATAAGATTACGGCGACAGTGGACTATTTCGTGAACAAGATGGGTTGGGATTCTTTCATTATCTCGAAACACCCATTACTTATTACAATGCGCTTGGAGAAGAGGCTTATACCTAGGGCTGCAGTAATTCATTTTCTGTCATTGAAAGGTTTGATCAATAAAAAAATAAATAGTTTGACTTATATGTTTGAGTGCCCTGAAAACACCTTCCTGCAGAAATCTGTGAATTCTTATGATGAAGCTCCCTAGTTATTGAAGTTGTACCAAGAGAAGTTGAATCCTTCAGAAAAGGCAAAATGATCATTGTGTAGAAACATGGATGCATTATTTGTAGAATCCTTACATTGTGTAGAAACATGGATGCATTATTTGTAGAATCCTTACATTGTAAAATCCAAATTGCAATGTTCTATAAGAAATGGAGTTTGTCTGAGGAAGAGATTTTTGAAGCATTTGGGAGGAATCCATGGTTTATGATGGCATCTGAGTATAAGATTATGGCAGTAATGGATTTTTTTTGTCAGTAAAATGGGTTCAGATCCTTCGGTTATTGTCAAACGCCCAAGACTTATTACATTGAGCCTGGAAAAGAGAATTGTTCCAAGGGGCACCTGTCTTTCAGTTTCTGTTGTCAAAAGGTTTGGTAAAGGAAAACCTTTACTTGCCTAAATTGTTTTTGACTCCAGATAAGTTGTTCTTGGAGAAGTTTGTGGACTGTTATAAAGAGGAAGCTCCTGAGGTGTTGACGCTGTATAAGATATAAATAGAACTTCTCAAGATGACTACAAAGTGGGTTGGCATGGTTTAGAGTGATGCAAGTGTGTAATCCATACATTCTGATTTCGGGTTTTTTTTTTTTGCCCTTTCTTTTAAATGTTCTGTAGTTTGATTCCAGAACACAATTTTCTTGCTTGTTTATCATTTCCATATCTTTCTTAGTCTGTTTGGCTCATGCAATTCAACTTTATTAATTAAATTTTCTGTGTGTTTCAACATACAAGAAACACATGTGAATGAATTTCATCTTTAATATTATATTCAAAACAAGAAGCATAAAAAATATTGAAAATATAAATAAAAGGGTATTTTCGAAAGTAGATAGGGTTTATGAGGCATTTGCATATGCTAACATATTTAATGGGATAAACTTGGAAATGGGGTTTAAACTTCAAAAGGTAAAATGTGGGGGGTCAATAAGATCACTCTGAATTAAATTTGTTAAATATAATTAAATAAACCTTCCATTAATTTCATTGGGCACTTTCGCAAGCCCATGTAAAGCCCAATGAGGCCCAACTCTCAGATTACATTACTAAATTCCCTAATTAATTAATGTATGATCTTATTTCATATTGAAGACCAAGACATAAAAATATGGGACAATATTGATTTAATCATGAAAATCAATCTCTTATTAACTTCAGAAAAACGATGAGAGACTTATTTAAAATAAATATAACAGTGTTTTAATCTTCAATATATGTATAAACCGTATATATGAATATTTAAATATCAACATTCATATATATCAGATAAAATGTTCAATCAATTTAACATTTAAGAATTTATAAAATTTATGTTGGAGTTGTTGATCAGTTTAACAATAAGGGGCCATGTGAACGCATTTGTGGGTCTTGCTACCCAGTCAGTGGGCAAGGGATCCTGCTGGAGAATTTCTCTAAATAATTAATTCCTAATTTGGTCTAAATTCTCGAAAAAAGATTCTTGTAATATTAGATTTTACTCTTTAAACCTATTATATAATTTTTATTTTTCTCTTGTATGAGTGTGATAGCAAATCATAGGACAAATTACATTCATTGTAACAAGAGAGGTAAGCTAGTATTTCAATAATATTAACTTTGCTGAACACAGTTTGTTAATTGGGTGAACTAAAATAAATCGCGCATATTTTTCTTTTTTTACTTGTGTATGTTTATTGTTTTTTATTTTACTCTAGATTGTATCAATTTCATGGAAAAAGTCCATGATAAATTGGAAAAAGTTCAATCAATTCAAGATTCAAGAATTTATATGAAGTTGCAATTTGCGAGATTTAACAAATTAAAGATTGTCAAACCCAAAATTTTAAAGATTGATTTACTTAATAATGTAAATAAATAATTAAGTAAATCAATTACCCTTAACAAAATCCTTATTAAACATCCATTAACACACATAAAAAAGAACAATTAAAAGAATTATAAACTATACTTCATTAATTGTTACAACATAGTTTTCTCATATCTCATAAGCCACGGTAAGCAGCAGCAATTCAAGGTTTGTACTCTTCATCTTCGCCATGGTGTTCCTTCCAATATCGTTACCATATGAAGCAGCTCGATTTACTCTTTTGAATAATTAAAAATTCTAAAAGTTTTGTCATGTAAATCTTCCTAATCTTTAACACACAATCAAGATAAAACAACCACAACAATACACACAAAATTACCGTGGTTCACCTATCCAAGATTGGGTAGACTACGTCCACATTGAGCTACGGAATCAGAGGAGCTCGCTGCACTAATCAATTACAATCAAGAGTTTACACCACAGATCAAAGATCAATCACTCAAGAATACAACACAACCTTTCCCGTAATCTTACCTAGAGAACACAATCAGATTCCCTATTAACTTGAGAGTAAAACCCCTCTCACTTGAATGAAAAACCAAACACTCACTCACCAAGATTACACAGATTGAATGTAACAAGAGAAAAAAAAAANAAGCTAGCCCACATTCTTCATTTGAGCCTATGAAACAGTGTTCGGATGAAAAGGAATGGGAATCAGGCACAAATCCTTCTTCCTTCTGACTGTCCCACCAAAGCGCTCTGTCATGTCCAGATCTTCATGCTTCATTCCATTAGGAAGTTTCCAGTCAGAATGGTATAGCAACATTGCTAGAGGAAGCTCCACATTGGCTAGACCAATGAAACCCCAGGGCACATCCTTCTTCCAGCACCAAATGGGATGTACTCAAAATTAGTCCCCGTATAGCCAACAGAACAACTAATGAACCTTTCTGGAATAGAACTCTCAGGTTCTTTCCAATACTGAAATGCAAAAACGTTGAAATTATCTGTTCTTCGCAGGGTCAAATAAAAGCAATAGCTGTTTGCTTATGTTAATCTGTCACTATCTATACAGATAGTCCAAGAGGCCAAATTTTGGTGAGTTATTTTCTCTGTACTTACCAACAATATTAATTATTTATCAGAAATATTGGATAAAATATTTAAAATCTTTTTTTGTCAATGGAATTAAAAATAAAATATCATTTCAATTAAATACTCAATAAATGTGAATGAATGATATGTCAATCAAACAATTATACCACATTGGTTTGTATATCAAGTGATGCTGTATAAATATAACAAAAAAAACTCTCATGTACTGGTGCTGTATAAATATAACAAAAAAAACTCTCATGTACTTACTGTTATAATTTTTCATAGACATAGTATTATTCAACAGAAAAAGATGAGGGAGAGGCAGAGTTAGTTACATTAAAAGTGATAATTTTGAAAATTAATCAATCTCAAACTAACTAATTAATAGGGTGCGTTTGGTTGGGGCTCTAGAAAGATAACTTCGGTAATCTATCTTTAATTTCAAACATTCCCTTGTTTGATTGTCAAGTAATAAAAGATTTCGGTAATATTTCAATACCAATAGTAATTACTATAGGTTAAATAGGGGGTAATCAGATTACCTCCTCAGGGGGTGGTATTTAAAGATTACTGGGATAATCTTAATTTTATATCCATTCTGCCCTTAATTAAATACCATTCTGGACACTAATGCACTCAAATGTCTACCAAATAACAATAACTCAGACCCTCTACATTTTAGAATTTAGCTAAAATACCCAAGCTACAAAAAAGTTTAAAAGTTAACAAAATACCCCCAGCAACCAAAGACCACCACCGGCCACCAGCCACCACCATCGGCCACCGACAATAGTCGCTAGATTGATGCACTACTAGTGGGATCTAGCGGATCATGCACCGATTTGGCTATTTTCGGCCAGATTGAAGGCTGAAAACGGCCAGATTGCCGTGGATTTGGTTGGAAATAGCTAGAGTAAATCGACCATTTGTGGCCGTTTTCGACCAGATCCACGACGATTTGGCTGAAAATAGATAGATCAGCATGGATCTGGTTGGAAACAGCCAAATTACTGTGGATCTAGCCGTTTTCGGCCATATCCATAGTGATCTAGTTGTTTTTGGCCTTCGATCTGGCTAAAAATAGCGAAAATGGCGCACGACTAGCTTGATCTCGTTGGTCGTGCGTCGTTTTGGTGATTGATGCCGGTGGTCGGCCGTTGGCGATAGTCTTGGGTGGCAAGGGGTATTTTGTTAAAATTTAAACTTTGTTGTTAGGGGTGTTTTAGCTAAATTCTCAAATGTAGGGGGTTAAAAAATTTATTTAAATAATAATAATAATGATATAATGATATTAAAAAGGAAGGGCAATTCAGTAAAAGCTTTTGTCGATAGTATTTTATTCTTCCCAACCAAACATCTTAATTATTTATACCCACTAATCTAACCAAACATATTGCTATAATATTCTCCTGTAATCTTCAAGATAATCTATCTTGGAGGTAATCCTACATTTTCAGCAATAAAACATTCTCCGAACCAAACGCACCCATATGATTATTGGTAATAGTGACAGATAACATAAACAAACAGAAATTGATTACTTTAAAGCCTAAGCATTAAGCTATGGATGACAGGGAATGGGAATCAGGCAAAGAGCATTTTTCCTTCTGAGTGCCGCACCAAAGGACTCGGTCATGTCCAAATCTTCATTCTTCATTCCATCAGGAAGTTTCCAGTCAAAATGATACAGCAACATTGCTAGAGGAAGCTCCACATTGGCAAGACCAAATGAAGATCCAGGGCACATTCTCCTTCCAGCACCAAATGGGAGGTACTCAAAATTGGTACCCATATGGTCAATAGAACTATCAATGAACCTCTCAGGATTAAAACTCTCAGGTTCATTCCAATATTCTGGATCTCTTCCAATTGCCCATGCATTAACAATGACTTTTGTATCGGCAGGTACATTGAACCCATTAATCTCACATTTCTCTCTACATACTCTTGGAATTAATAGAGGACCAGCAGGATGCAACCTCATACTCTCTTTTATCACTAGTTTCAAGAACTTCATTTCAATAATACCTGTTTCATCAACCTTTTCCATTCTATTAAAGACTTCCCTCACTTCAGCTTGTGCTCTTTCCATCACTTTTGGATTCTTTATCAATGCAGAAATTGTCCACTCTAATACTGTGGAAGAAGTCTCGATGCCAGCACCAAACATGTCCTGTAAAAGGGAGTTACATGATTCTGAGTTTAACCACTAGAGCACCGATTAAAAACAAGAACAGAGATTAAGTTATGCGTTCAACTCCAAGGGGTGAAGGTACTTACAAAGATTACCGCTTTGATGTTTTCGTTAGTTAATGGAAATTGAAGATCGTTTTGCTCTTGAAGTTTCAAGAGAACATCAACCAGATGTTTATCACCTTAACTCTTGTCAGACTTCTTGCATTCGTTCATAATGTTTTCAACTACTCTGTCAGATTCTTCGTGCAGCTTCTGCAAATAACGATTCGTTCCACTGATTGATTCGAGCAATTTAATGGAAGGAAACAGATCTGTAATATTAAACCCTCCCAGCGCCTCTGCGATATCCTTGACAGCAGATATGAATAGTTCTTGATCAGCTTCACGCACTTTACCAAAGGCTGCCCTGGAAGTCACAGCATATATTAATTCACTAATTTTATTTGAAAGGTTAATCACTGATCCTGATTTAGATTCAATCCAATCAATTAGCTTAGCGATCTCTTCTTCTCTCACTGATCGGAAAGACTGAACTCGTTTAGCGCTTAAAAGCTCCAATGTACAAATC